ATTACTGGAATACAGTTTCTCTTATGGATTATTCTGACCTCTGCTTTCCTTTTGTCTCTCTGAAAGTGTGTCTCTTATTTTACCGGTATTTAATAGTAACTTCAGGAAACTCAAGAAGAGGAGGGGAAGCTTGTAAAATTAAAATTAGTCAAATATTCACTGCAGAATATTTAAGAGAGTTAAAATCAATAAACCATCTAAATGCACAAAACTCAGGACTGGCCACAGAGATACCACATCCACGTATGTCCACACATCCCATAGACTATGTCATAAGTTCACACGTGCAAACTCACAGAAATATCTACACACAGGGTCATACCTTTGGAAGAAAATGGAAGAATATATATATACCTGTACATATATATAGATGCACATACATACATGTACACAGTTGGGTATATATGGAGAAGCATCCACAATAAGTCACATGTAGGAGAGTTAAGATAAACATAGGCACGCAGAAGAATGCTCACCCAGAATGCACAGAGGTAGACATACAGAAATGTGCACACACAGGCAAATACCCTGCCATTCAGTTGTGGACTTCATTTCACCTGTTAGTACAGATAACAGAGTTGGTTGTACCTGTTTCCCACCACGTAACAGCTATCCTTTTTGCATCTTTTTATTGTTTTTCAAAGATGTCTCACATACCTTATTTCATCTCAGATGCAGGAAATTTCACAGGCCTCACTTTGAAATTGGAGACCCAGAGTGATTAGGTAGTTGGCTCAAGATCCCACAACTAGTAACTGGCAGAATCTGGATCGGAACTCAGGTCCTGACATCCCAGGAGCTGTTTCATTGCTCTCCGCAAATGAGGAAGAAGGCAGACAGCAGAGGGACAAGATACTGCATTGATTTCATTACTTTTAGTGAAAAATATTGCAAATGATATAATAGCAGGACATGACATAAACATGATTGTTTTTCATAACAGCATTACATGGAAACTGTGATGGACGCTCGCTCAAACCTCTTGACAAACACCCCGGGGGATGAAAGAGACCCAGGCAGTCTCTCACTTACCCTTCAGAAGACGAATGTTGAGAAAAAGTAGCAGGAGGAAGACAATCATGGATGCCACATTTTCCTTCATGTTGACTCCCTTTTCTTGCTCCAGGGAATGTATCAGAGATTCACTAAAAGAGAAGGCACCAGGCAAATTTTGTAAAGTGACAGTCTGGTCAGGCACATGCACCACTTTATTCTGGGTGTTTGCAACTGATTCTTGCTCCTTGCTTAATGTGAATGACAAAACAGGAGGAAAGGAATGTTGGAAAATGTAACACGGGATGGCTTGGCACAGAAGTATTGGTTCACACACGCTGGGAAAAATTCCACCACCAGAGGTCATCAGATGACAACATAGAGTGTTCAAGGGGAGCCACAGCCCTTGGTTCCTTTGCACACACCGCAAAGAAAAATTGTTCTCTTCCCACCCAGCTGTCATCTAACAATATATTACCCATTTTCTGTGGCATGGATTGTGTGCCCTCCAAGAGAATCATTCCAGGAGGGGTCTGGCTTTGATCTACTGGCCAAAAATAATCACTGGAAAGTCAACACCCCAGGTCCCTACCTGCACCCGATTGATGCAGTCAAGCTAGGGGGCCTCCTCTGAAGATGCAGATTGAGAAGGTTTTAAGGGTCCTCTGGGCTATGGGCAGGACCACGAAGTGAATCACGCAATGAGCTGTACTGAATTTCCACATGGTTTCTTTTTCTCTTTTAAAAAGCCCCAGAAATAAGAGAAAAAAAAACTGCAGTAGTAATTTGAATCCCATGGGTAGAGTATTAAGTAGATTTTGAACCTGCAGGGATTATGAGTTTTGAAAAATTTATTATTAATATTATTATTATTGCCCTTGGAACAACTTTCAAAGCCTTGAAATGGCCTTCTAAGAAAAAAAGATTTTTAAAGACATTTGGTGTTGGGGGGGTAAAGCCTCATTAGTGTTACTGGACTTCAGACAACTCTTAGAAAACAATGGATTTGACGAATTAAGTGTAAATTCTCAGAAATGTGTGGCTTAAACTTTTTCCTTTAGGCTTTATTGCTTTTTAAAGCAAGAGAAGAACAACCAGGGGGCAAGTCAGCCCATCCTGGGACATCTGAAATAATCCTGTTGTTTGAAGAGCCTCCACAAAGTCCAGCCTGTGACCATTCTTCCTGACCAGCGGGTGGCTCTCCATGGGCCAGCTTCACATCACTCAACTGACAATTTCTTGAAGGCTTTTTCCACTTGACAATACTCCCAATGAGGCATAGTCATAGAAATTGTGGTGATCATAGAGGCTTGGGGCATGTAGGTTCCATCAAATATCTCTGTTATATTGAGGCTCCCATTCAATAATGGATCTTCACCCTCTTACAGATTCTTTGAGTAGAATGTTCTTTGGGGACCTGCTACTCACTGTTCCAGGATTCTTCCCAAATGCTCTTCCAGGGTTATACATACCAAGTCTCTTTCTTTTCTTTTCTTTTCTTTTCTTTTCTTTTCTTTTCTTTTCTTTTCTTTTCTTTTCTTTTCTTCCTTCCTTCCTTTCTCTCTCTTTCTCTCTTTCTCTTTCTTTCTCTCTCTTTCTCTCTCTCTCTCTTTCTTTCTCTCTCTCTCTTTCTCTCTCTCTTTCTTTCTTTCTCTCTTTCTTTCTTTCTCTCTTTCTTTCTTTCTCTCTTTCAGGCAGAGTGGACAGTGAGAGAGAGAGACAGAGAGAAAGGTCTTCCTTTTGCCGTTGGTTCACCCTCCAGTGGCCGCCGTGGCCGGCGCGCTGCGGCCGGCATACCACGCTGATCTGAAGGCAGGAGCCAGGTGCTTATCTTGGTCTCCCATGGGGTGCAGGGCCCAAGCACTTGGGCCATCCTCCACTGCACTCCTGGGCCATGGCAGAGAACTGGCCTGGAAGAGGGGCAACTGGGACAGAATCCAGCGCCCCAACCGGGACTAGAACCCGGTGTGCCGGCGCCGCGAGGTGGAGGATTAGCCTATTGAGCCACGGTGCCGGCCTCAAGCCTCTTTCTTCATCTAACCCTTCAGGATCATATAATTTAAGCCAAGTGATCAAAGGCTCCTAGTGTCTATCACTTCTGCAGTACCTGCTTTGGTCTGGATCAGGCACTGGGCCTTTATCATTTAAATTTTATTTTTTTCTCTCACATCAGTCTATGAGTATATTTTTACCCTCCCTTTCTAACAGGTAGGTTTTGTAAATATCAGTTGCAAGGCCACAAGAAAGAGAAATCTGGTGAAACTAAGAGCATCTGATAAGTCACCCTGATTTTTGAGCAGTCTTTAATGGTTGGTACAATTATTCCCCCTTCTGAGGGACAGTGGAGACAGAGGCACAGACCCATCATGAATCATAAGTAAAGTCTTGTGCACCATAGTCCTGAGCAAGAACAGGAGTGCCAGGGCTGAGAAGTTATCCTAGCTACTTCTCTAATAAAAATCCCTGTATCATAAACCCTCAATTATCCGTTTTCATTAGGTACATGTAACCCTAGAGGTATTTCTTGCCCTGGCAATCTGCCTTGAAGATAGGGTTCCATCCACTGGCTGAAGTTGTTCTATATTCCGTTATTGAAGCTTCTATACTCTTTTGGACATTGCATCAAAATGCTAGATATTAACATTCTATAAATCACACCTTTTAAGTAAGGTCAGATACTCTCAGGACAGCTCTGCCAAATCAGGGTTCCACAAGTTTTGAGAAGAAATACTGACATGAGGAGTAGAGTGAGGCAGGCAGGAATAGATCTTGTCTTCTGTTTATTCTGTCTTGTGCTTTGTTCCTGGATCAAAGAAACTCTGCTAACTTAAGTTTTTTTCCTACAAAAATGGCTCCAGAGAGAACGATCCAACATGGGAAGCGGGATACACAGCAGATGTCCTAAATAGCACTCTGGCCTCAGAATCAGCCCTTAAAGCATTCAGATCTGGCTGAAGAGCCCATGAGAGTTTTTTAGGCATGGAAAGCCAAGACACTTTGGCAAACAACAACAACAACAACAACAACAAACACCTAAATGAAAGATATCTGTGAGTGAGATTCCAGTGGAAAGAACAGGGCCGTCAAAGAAGGAGGTACCTTTCTCTGAAGGGAGGAGAGAACTTCCACTTTGACTATGACCCTGTCTGAACAAGATCAAAATCGGCGAACTCAAAAGGCTTCCATAGCCTTGGCAACTCATGACAAGAGCCTAGGGAGATTATTGACGCCATAAACAAGAGTGTCAATTTGTTAAGTCAACAACAGGAGTCACTGTGTACTTACTCCTCATGTGGGATCTGTCCTTAATGTGTTGTCCAATGTGAAGTAATGCTATAACTAGTACTCAAACAGTATTTTACACTTCGTGTTTCTGTGTGGGTGCAAACTGATGAAATCTTTACTTACTATAAACTAAATCAATCTTCTGTATATAAAGAGAATTGAAAATGAATCTTGATGTGAATGGAATGGGAGAGGGAGTGGGAGATGGAAGGGGTGCAGGTTGGAGGGAAGTTATGGGGGGGAAAAAGCCATTGTAATCCATAAACTGTACTTTGGAAATTTATATTTACTAAATAAAAGTTAAAAAAAAATGACTCCAGGAGGCATTTTATGTACTAAAAGGAAGAACATTTTCTCTGGGATTTCCTGAGACATATCCTGGAATCTGGTCACTACCATGTATATTCTAACACCTAAAATTCTTTTTCCCAGAAATTAGACATACATACTCATAGCAGTTTTGTTGTGTTTCAGTAATGATTTCCCAACTCCTCCTGCAGCTTACCCTCAGCAGGCACAAACAGTGGGATAAATAAACCTCCAGAGAGAAAGACAATGGCAACTGCTCACCTCAAAGGAAGCTGTGCTCAATGTCAACCCTGATCATACATTGCAGCATTCCCATGGCCAGGCACCTCTTGCTTTTGCGATCACCAGGCTTGATGGCTGGCAAACATGAGGCATGTGATAATCCTGTTTATGTCTTTCTCTATTACAAGTAAGCTCTTGATCAAGGGAAAGCATGGCTCTCCTTAGTCACCCCAATTGGGGCTGAACAGCCTACAATGCTCCATATCTTGCCTTTCAAGTTGGAGCAGCAAATGGTATAAATATTTGGAGGCCAGTGAACAAAAAGTTGCCCCTACACACTCAACCTCAGGACAAAAAATTATCTTGGGCTTTACTCCTGTCTCTCACTGACATGACTATCGTTTGAAAATGTGTGACTTGGATCTGTAGAGCAGTTTATAGGAAGCCCACAGACCCACACCTTACCCCTGACTCATGCCTTTGATTCCTTGATTTTGAATCTCAAAGACTCTCCCATCTTGATGCTTTGCCCTTTACCCTGTTCAAATAATTTTTTACCTTATTTCCACCATGCCATGTTCAACTGTGATATGAACTCTGGGAAAATCACCTTGGTGTTCTGCATCAAAGCTTATCCTATTTTGACCCTGTCTTTCCCAAAAGCATCTCTTCATTATTGTCCTCCATTAAGTCAAGTCTCTTCCACAGAGGACAACTATTGAGAAAGAGGTCACAGCAATTCATATCATGGCAGCTTACCCTTTTGAGAAGCTAGAACCTTCTCCCCAGTTGGAAAACAAGGGTCATAGTCTGGGTTGATTTCACTTTTAACATTAGGGAGGACATGCCAAAGGAGAGGAGGCAGTGTGACCTTCTGAGAGTTAACAATGACAGGTCTGAGTTCCCAAAGTACCTCTCACAACCATCAATCCTTCCTCCTTTGGATAAAACAAAGTAGGCTTTGACTGCATGTTCTGGTCCATCCAGATCCAGAACCAATACTGAATGACAATAATCTCAGCTTTCTATTTGTGGTACTTGCTCCAGAGATTTACTATTGGGTAATTCCTGAATGAGTAGTCTACACCCTCTTCTATGTTATCTGCTACTGTAGCCCCAATGATTGACTCTAGAAATGGATCTGACACCCTAGGCAGGGGTTCTGAGAACACTTTGAACTCTTGCTATCCCTACTCCTCAGTGGCCAAGCAGAGCCCAATTCAAGGTTTTCTTAAAGACTGTCACACAAATAACATGCACAAATTCTAACTCAATCCAATAGCTGTCACCAAGTCAATATAATCCATTTTCCAAACCAAGGCAAGACACTAATAGT